GGGGGCCTTCTCGTGCTATCCGGCGGGCCCCCTGCGGCGCAGACCGAGAAGCAAGGGGTGGGGTGGGCTGGGGGGGCGGGCAGAAGGCATGCACGCGAGGGCGAAGGGAGCGGCCCGAAGTCTCGTGCTGCAGCAGAGGAGCTTTTTCGAAGAGGCGAGTCTTCCCTTCTCTGCGCGGTGTCGCATTTGCGCAGCGTAGGTTGAATCCATTTCGGCTGCGCCCGCTTATGGAGCAGAACGCTCTGCGAAATTCAGCACGGCGCTGTTTTATCAGGCTCGCCTCAACATTCTCAGCGCATGGTTATTGTCGTATTTCTACCCCTCTCTTTTCCAACTTTCTCTTTTGAGGGAAGACGCAAGCTGACAAGCTCACGCAGCCAGACTTTCCAGCTGGTGTTGGACACCTACTCATCTTGCATTTCGCACGAATCGTCTGAATGGCCGTGCCGGCCACCTCATTTGGCGGCATTTCAAACGAATTTTCTGAATGTGGCACTCCGCTTGTCCTTCTCCGTCCCTCCTCCCATTCCATCGGGTCGGACGAGTGGGGGGGAAGAACACATCTCAATTGGCCATCCTCCGAACAAGGGAGGAGAATCATTGACGATGCGCCCGCTCCTGGCGGCGCGCGCGATGGCCCCGGGGCGCGGTACGAGCCTGGGTCCCTAAGCACTTGGTCTTGGTGATCCTGTGGTGCGTTCGGCGCCACCCGCTCACTCTCCGTCCACTCTTTCATCATGCCCATTTCTCTCTCCCCTCCTCCATCCCTCCCCGCCTCGCCTCCACATCGTGATGGATCCCACTTCAATTCGTGTTGGAGCTCACGCTTGGTTTGAAGAGCGCAGAAGGCTTCCACTCTGCACAAGGTAGCGCCAGCAGGCATTCAGGTAGGTTGCTTCGGATGCGAGCCTCCGAGAGAGACATAGGAAAGAGAGAGAGAGAGAGACAATTGTATGTATGTATGTACGTATGTATGTATGTATGTATGTATGTATGTATGTATATATATACATATATATATATGTATACACATAACCCGCGCGCGAGGCCCTGGCGCCTCCTCGCGTTTTCGACCTTCCGACGCTCCAAGACGGCCGACGACGCCCCCAAGACCGCCACAAAACCGCCGAAGAGGCCCCCAACAGAGCCCCAAGACGGCCCCAGGGAGCCCGAAAGTTGCCCAGGAGGAGCCGGACAGGCCCAAGCTGGGCCACAAAGCGGGAGCGGGAGGCCCCAAGGCGCTCCAAGACCGCCCAGATGGCCCCAATGTGGCCCCAGATAGGCCCAACACGGCAAATACACAGCCCAAGAGGCCCCAAGAAAGCTCCGAGAATCTTCCCGAGAGAGCCCGAAGAGGCCCAAATTCTTGATTTTCCGTCGCTTTTCCCCACATGTTTAGTGGGTTTGTTGTTTTCTTCCCACCCGCGGCGCACCCGCGTCTCACTCACACACTCACGCACTCACCTCCCTCCCTCCTCCCTCCTCACCTCCTCTTCCTCTTTCGCCCGCCTCGTCCACGTGCAACACATGCACGGCACGCACACTCGAACACACCAACACACGCATGCAAACACACACACACACACGCACACGCACACGCACACGCACACGCACACACACAACATACACACACGCACACACACACGCATGCACGCATGCACGCACCCACGCACGCGCGCGCGCGCACGCACGCACGCACGCGCGCGCGCACGCACGCACACACGCACACAACACACACAGAACACACACAACACACAACACACACAACACACACACACACCACACACAACACACAACATACGCAGCACACACCCGACGCACACAACACACACCACACACAACACACACACCACACACACAACACACATAACGAACAGCACACACACAACACACAACACACACGCCACACAACACACAACACACAGCACACAACACCCACACACACAACACGCAACACGCACAACACACACACAACAACAACACACCACACAACACACAACACACAGCACACACAACACACAACACGAAACACACCACACACAACACACAACACACAAAGCACAACACACACCGCACACACACACACACACACACCGCACACAACACACATACGCACACACATGCACACACACACACACACACGCACCCAGGCACGCACGCACGCACAAACGCATGCACGCACGCACGCACGCTCGCTCGCTCGCTCGCACGCACGCACGCACGCACGCTCGCGCGCACGCACGCACGCACGCACGCAAGCACGCACGCACGCACGCACTCACTCACGCACGCACACACACGCACACACACACACACGCACACACACACACACCACACACAACACGCAACACACAACACACAACACACACACACACGCACACGAACGAACGCACACACACACATACACTTACGCACACGCACACGTACACGCAAACACACGCACACCGCTCCCAGATGGTGATCATAGCAACATGATGTCCATCCTCACCCAGTCCAGTAGGTTCACTTGGACTGCGCTAGAAAATTTTGCAGGCGCGAAGCGCGCGTGATTAGAATATTTACGCATCTATATATACACATAAGACATGTAAGTTCAACAACTATATCTACCTGCAGGTGCCCAAACGTCCACGAGCCCCATACATCCTATGTCTTGATTGCTTCCAATATGTAGCCCCCGGAAGTCACGACCCTCTCCTCAAGGCCAGTTCTTCATCACGAGGTGTTTTCTTGTATGATCCCAGGGCCCGGCGAGGGCCCCCAGTCGCCGAAGACGCCGAACAAGTTCAAGTAGGCACGATTGTTGTTCCAATGCATTGGAGGTCCAGGGCGCGCCGGTACACGCGCCCGCTGCGCGTCGCCCCAGAGGCCTGTAAAGACGACCCCAAGAGGTCCTAAAGGCTCCCGAGGAGGCCCTCGTGAGCTCCGATTCGGAAACTGTCCTGGGCGCGGCAGCTGATGACGCCGAGCGTGTATCGGAAGAGGCCCGCTGGAGCACGCAGCAAGTCAGTTGTCGGGGGGCCGCAGCACGGAGAGGCGCCGTCTAGCCGCCCGTGCCCCCTCCTCGTCCACACCTTTGCCGACAACGGGAGCGCGGGTTTCCTCGCAGGCTGTGCGCTCGGGCGTCGCCGCCGTCGTCGATCCCAACGATGTTTTTTTTGTAGTTTTTACTATCTGGCGCGTAAGGGTCCTCACCCGGGCCAAACCCTCTCTTCGGCCGAGAAATAGGGGAGCCGTTTGTACCGTCTTGATTTTTTTTTTGTGTCGGGTAGCGTCTGGTAATCAATGAGGTAGCGTCGATTGGCGCCGGGTAGCGTCGATTAGCGTAGATTCAGCGTCGATCACCGTTGATATCGATTTGGGACGATCACCGTCGGCCCACAAGACGGTAGGGGAGGCTCCCATGAGTTGCGCCCCGGAGTTTAGCGGTAACGATCGTATGCTGGGGGGGGGGGGGGCGGACCCCCTTCGCTCCAACCTGCTGGCGCTCGCGCACCTATTTTGGCGACCGCAGCGCCCCCCCGACCCGACGTGCCCCACCCCGCCCAAGCGTTGCCCAGAGCCCCAACCCACTCTTCCCCCCCATGGGTAACGACCGTTGCGGGAAGCAATGATGATGATGATGATGATGATGATGATGATGATGATGATGATGATGATGATGATGATTATGATGATGATGATGTTGATGTTGATGTTGATGTTGCTGTTGCTGTTGCTGATGCTGATGCTGATGCTGATGCAGATGCAGATGCTGATGCTGATGCTGATGACGATGACGATGATGATGATGATGATGATGATGATGATGATGATGATGATGATGATGATGATGATGATGATGATGAATATGATGATGATGATGATGATGATGATGATGATGATGATGATGATGATGATGATGATGATGATGATGATGGTGGTGATTTTTTTGATGATCATGATGACGCTGACGCTGATGCTGATGATGCTGATTCTGATGATGCTCATGCTGATGCTGATGCTAATGCTGCTGATGATGATGCTGCTGCTGATGATGATGATGCTGATGCTGCTGATGATGATGATAACGGTGACGGTGACGGCGGCAACGAGGAGGAGGAGGAGGAGGAGGAGGAGGAGGAGGAGGAGGAGGAGGGAGATTTGCCCGCGCACTGCCCCGCCCTATTTCTCACCAGCCTCTATTTCGGACGTTGATAGTTAGACCTCCTACCCTGACACGTCGATGAAGGAATGGTCGATTAATACCTTCGTTATTTGCACGGCGTTAGCACGTCTTGGCGTAGTGCTCGCCAGGAAGAACACTGCTCGTGGGGAACATGCCTCCCGAGTTTCCTTGCCAGGCAGTGCACAGGGAACGCTGGTTCCCTGAGAAGTCCTGGGTCCAAGGCCCGTTCCCCTCAAGATTTCTCGGAGGTTGATAGACCTCCTACCCTTGGCATCGCTCGGACGTGTGCATTTTGCCTTCGGCGAGGACCATCGAGGAGCATCCTTGATCAGTTGGCGAAACAACCACGCAGGAAACCACCAAAAACACAGGGAATGGACGTCCGAGCGATGGCCAGTACCCCGACACTTCGATTAAGGAACTTGCCGTTTTTGGTTCGCGAGAGGGCGTCGCGGCCGTCATTGTTGCGGGTCCAGGTCCGTCGGTTTCGGTCCCGGGCCATTTTCGCTAAGTGGAGGTTTGCGAAAAGGAGGTTTGTCCACGGCCGACCATTGCTTGAGTAGGAAATCGACTACATAATTGATTTCCCTACTTTCCCGTCGAATCTAAGACATCGCACGTGTAATGTTTACATCTCTGCGAGTACTCTATGCATTGCTTGCAGACTCAACGAGCACGCGCAGTTGTGAGGGTGATCCATTCTGCGGTCGATCTCGCACTCGAGCTGCTTTTGGGCTTCGCTTCTGGATGCCCGCATGGACCGACCGACCGACCGAGAGGGAGGGAGGAGGATGACGCAGCCCCGCGCGGCCCCCGCGCCCCCGGGCGGCAGGCGCAGCTGGGCGCCGACGCCGCTGCCGCGCGCGTCAGCGAGGCTGCAGGCTCCAGCCCCTCGTCCGGCCCGAGGCCGCCGGCGGGGCCCAACGACACCGCAACGGGTACTTCCTAACGGGTATTTTGCAATTTTGCAGAAAATTGCCACTTTAGGGCCTCTTTCTGGCAATGCAGCGTTGCCCGCATCGGGAAGGGTTGGGTTCGCTGGGTCACTGGCCAAAGTACCCGTTAGTGGAGTCCCCGTTTGAGGGGCGCTGAGGGGCCTTGGGGCGGGCGGATCGAGCGGGTGGAGACGAGGGCCGACGCAAGCGGGGGTCAGCCAGAGCGTCGGATCCTGCAGTCGAGCAGTGGCGAGGCGTCCCGGCTCGCCTGCAGGCCCCCCAGACAATGTTCTGGGAGCCTTCCTGTGGTCTGCGCGAGGTGTGCTTAGAACAGGTCTGGCCGGGGCTGTCGTGTTTTCACACACCGGGTGTATGTCGGGTTTCTGTTCCAAGGACATCTTTTTGCTCTTCGAACATTTTTCGGGGTTCCGAGAACATGTCGAGGTGGGCCTATCGATATGCCGGGGCGGTCGGCCCCTGCTGCACTGACCGGGGTCAGTGCACCCCCGAGCGGAGGCCAAGGGACACGTTTTGGGGGATGCACTCGAGGGGGGGATGTCAGAGCCCCGAATCATCAGGGGTAACTCGGGTCAGGGATAACTCGGGTTCCTTTTTCGGGAATCCGAACCCGAGTTACCCCGGACCCGAGTTACCCCGGATAACTCGGGCGTCCAGAGCCCCGAATTATCAGGGGTAGCTCGGGTCAGGGATAACTCGGGTTCCTTTTTCGGGAATCCAAACCCGAGTTACCCCGGACCCGAGTTACCCCGGATAACTCGGGCGCCCAATGATGGGGCGCATCGACCTCCAATCGCTCATGCATCGCCGATGGGTGCCCGACAGCCCGTCCTGTCGGCGACCTCTCGGCGGTCTATCGGGGAGGGCGGAGGCCAAGGGCAACCTTTGAGGGTGGGGGGGCTCAGGTGGCCCGCGGACGACCTGCGTGCATCGTGCCGCGTGGGGCTCTCTTCCCGGGTGTCGTCGATCCCTGACCCAGGAATGGTGCGGTGCAACTTTTTGTTCCGTCCCGGAGGTCCGAAACATCGTGCACCGCACCACGTTGGAGCGGGGCCAGAAGGGCGCCGACACGCGGTACGGTGCACGAGCGCCCTTCTTCCCGTCGGAGGACGTGACGGATGAGCGGGGCGAGGGGGGTACCTGCAGGGGGGAACCAACGTTTGAGGCTGATGGAGGCTGTCGTTTCTCTTGGCGGTTATCCACCCCCGGCAGCTGCACCTCGCCGAGAGCGTTCCCGGGGGGCCCGGGCCGTCCCGAGCGGCCGCCGGAGTGCGAGGCAGGTCCGAAAGCCACCAGGGGCCACGTTAGGATTCAGTCGGGCATGTCCCTCCATTGGAGGAAAATTCAAAAATAGTAAAAATATAGTCAGGGGGCGCTTCTTGTTTCTTGTATTTTTTTGTTGAATATTATTTGGGCATGTTTTATTTTTCGTCCACAATCCGCCTGTAGGGGGACATGCCCGACCTATAACGATAGGAGGGGATGAACTCCAAGAGGGATCACCGATGCATCACCGATCGGGGGCCCGAGGTTCCAAAAGGGGTTTTCAGGGAGGGGGGTTTTCCAGAGAGCTCCCCAGGGGCCTCGGAACCCCGACAAAACAGGGGGTGCGAAGCCCTTGGGGGGCCCCTCCTGGAAAACCCCCTCCCCCAAAGCCCCGTTTGGAACCCTCCGGATGCGGAGTCGCTATCAGCTGTCGCCGATGTGCGGGCGATGCAGCGCCGATGCCCGGCCGACGCGTCCCCCCCTGAGCCAGCACCCCCTCTTGAGCAGGGGATCCAGTGCACGGAATTGGTTCACCCCAGCCCTGCTTTGCGTCGAATTTGTGCGTAGAGTTATGATGTTCCAGCCTGTTTTAGCCTTGATCGCCAAAGAGTACCGAAACTAGAGGGTTTCCACGTGTCGAGCCCTGGGAGACACTCGTCCGACACTGTTTCGACACTGTTTCGATACTCTTTCGGCACTTTTCCGGGTGCTCGAAATCATTTCGGGGATGCGGTCCTTGAGTACGGTGGGAGCTACATAACCGTAGAAGTTTCGTAGATCTACCAACATTCTGAGACTTCTCGCAAACCTGACGCAGAAAAAAATCAATCTCGTAGCAAACCAATTCCGCAGTCGATTTCCTAGTCGACGATCGCTGCCCCCTCAATAGGCAGGTCGCCGCGTTGGAGGAGAGGATCGCCCAGAGTACCGCCGACTATCCAGTGGTTCCCCTTATGTTGCTTCCATCGTACTTAAGGACCACATCCCAGAAATAATTTCGAGCACCCAGAAAAGTGCCGAAAGAGTGTCGAAACGGTGTCGGACGAGTGTCTCCCAGGGTCCGACACGTGAAGACCCTCGAGTTTCGGTGCTTGTTTGGTGCTCGAGATTCTGCTTGGTGACCAGAGCGAAGCCACAGGCCGGAGCACCAAACGGCGCCCCTTGAGACCCGAGCGCAGCAGCTCTCCTTCTGTGCGCCGGCCTCGGGCGCCGGGGCCGCCGCCGGCCGGCCCGGCTCGATGAGGGACGCCGGAGAACGGGTTCGTCTGTACCGACGTTTGAGGACCATGTCCCAAACATATGTTTTCTTTTGCGTCAGTTTTGCATCAGTTTTGCCAGAAGTCTCAGAATGTTGGTCAGAGCCCCGAATCATCAGGGATAACTCGGGTCAGGGCTAACTCGGGTTCGCTTTTCGGGATTCCGAACCCGAGTTATCCCGGATGTTCGGGGGTGGACAGAACCCCCAACAGTGACACGTCGATCAGTGAATTGTTCGTTTTCGGTTCTCGAGAGGGCGCCGTGGCCGTTGTTTTCCAGGCTTGCGCCCGCCAGGTTTGGGCCTCAGGTCGTTTTCACCAAACCACGTTTTGCTAAAGGGGGTCTGCCCATCCCCGACATGTCCCAAACATCTTTTTTCTTTTGCGTCAGTTTTGCATCAGTTTTGCCAGAAGTCACAGAATGTTGGCAGGTCTACGAGACTTCTACGCTTATGTTGCTCCCGCCGTGCTCAAGGACCACATCCCCGAAAATTGTTTCGAGCACCCTGAAAAGTGCCGAAAGGGTGTCGAAACAGTGCCGGGACAGTATTGGACGAGTGTCTCCCAGGGCCCGACACGTGGAAGCCCTCGAGTTTCGGTGCTTTTCTGGTACTCGAAGTTCTGTTTGGAGGTCAAGGCTAAAGTAGGTTGGAGTATCATAAGCGCAAGCCCCCGTTTCCAATATGGCGTGCCGCGCTGGCAGCCCGCGTAAGCCACCGCGTAAAGGCGTTATGCCATCTTGCGTAAGACCTCTCTCTTCTCATCGCCCGAATAGCTCAGGAAGATGGGGTCTAGGGCGTGGGTGGTGATTTGTTTCGCAATGCTGATATGTTTCGCAAGCAGGCGGGTCTTGAGAAGAGCAGGTCTTGAAATGTTCTCGCAGTATTCGGGTTGTGGGCGCTCTTCCACGGCCCCAAGACCGCACAAAATACGGCTCAGGATGACGAGTTGGTCCTGGGGAAAGCTCCCAGGGGTCCAGGACCCGTTTCCCTAGGGACCCGTTTCCTCCACGCCATCGGGAGCAACAATAATTATCAAGCACGAGTTTGTGAAGTTCTTAGTCGGTGTTGCTCTCGATTTTCTAGCCGACGTAGTGAACAAGTAAACGAACAGCAGAAGTACAAAGTTCAATGGCTTGAATATGTTGGATGCTTTGTGGGCCTCTGGGCTCCTGGGGGCTTCTCGCTGCCTTGGCCCGATTCCCGTCGAACTCCTGGTACATCGCACCTGGAAAGAGGTACGGACCCAGACATGAGACGTCTTGATGTTTTCGGTAAGAGCCCCCTGTTTGTTAATTCAAGCTTCGCGCGGCCCGCTTAGCTTCGACCGGAAGAGGTGCGCTCTCGACCCGCGGATCAAAACATGTTTTCGATACGGGCGCCCCAAGAGTCCAGATCTTTCTTCCCGGCCCGTCTTCTGACGGTCCTGGGGCCTTGCCAGGGCCCCCAGAGTCCGAGAACGGCCAAACACCTTCGTTATGTGCACGACGTTAGCACGTCTGGGTATACTGCTTGCCAAGAAGAACACTGCTCGTGGGGGACGTGGCTCCTGAGTTTCTTTGCCAGACCTTGCGCAAGGAACGCTGGTTCCCTGAGAAGTCCTGGGTCCAGGGCCCCTTCCCCTCAAGACTTCCTGCCGACATGCCGAAGGAGCATGCCGGGCACGCGTTCCCCAGACCTCCAACGTTCGGGGGCCCCAAACGGGGTGGTGACCCCACCGTGCGGTCAGTCGGTGGGGATTCGGGGTCATCGCACGGTTTCGGGACTCGAGGCGCTCTCCGAGGACGTCTCGGGCGACAGGGGCCTCAAGGGTCCCAAGACCGTGCAGTGACGGACCGTGCGGTGAGGTTTTGGGGGATTTCGAGGTCACTGCACGGTCTGTCACCGCGCCGTTTCGGGATTCCAAAAACGTGCTGAACATCCAGTGCAGAGTTTTTGTTCAAGTTTTTGGCCTCCTTCGCTAGGCCCTGGGACCGTTAAACAACGATTTGGGGTGCAACGCTGTCTTGGGAGGAGGGTCTGGTCTTCCAGGACTCCGTATTGAAGAATTCAATACGTCGAATTTTTCGATGTGGCGGCCCGCTCGGTGTGGATTAGCTTAGCGACGCTAAGCCCGAAGCGGCAGTGGCCAGTGCTATCCTATCTGAAGGGGCAGGGGGTGGGAGGGCGTAGGAGGGAGAGTGGGAGCTTGGATCTCTGGCGCGATCGCCTCCCTTTGCCATTCACGACGTCGCCCCCCCTGACCTCCTCATCCTTCCCCTCCTTCTCCCCCTGATCCTCCTCTGCCTGCTCCTCCCCCCCTCTTACCCCCCTCTCCCTCTCTCTTTTTCCCCCTCCCGCCTTCCTCTGCCCAGGGGCAGACGCGTGGGCCTCGACCCCGGTCACGCATGGGCATGGGTGCTCCTGGAGCGTTAAGGTCAAGGGTGCTGGGTCTCACGTCGGCCACTGCCTGGGCCGGATGCCCGGAAGGCCTGTCCCGGTGACCGCTCTGTGGCATTCCTGGCCTCGCGTTTCCCTTGCCTCCCCTTCCTCCTTCCCTCCTCCTCCCCACGTCCCTCCCTCCCTCCCTCCCCCCCCCGTCCTCCCCACCTCCTTCCGCCGCGGCGACGGGACAACCCCACTTCCTGCCTGCCGCCGTGCTGCTGCCCCCTCAGCTGACCCCTCTCACCCCAGGCGCGGTTGATCACAGGCGCGTCCGCGGTGGCCACCCGAGCTGTTTTCACGGTGCACAGTTCAAGACGCATTTTTGTACACACTCAAGACGTTGAGAGACGGACCATCTGGGGTTCGGAAGGGGCCCGCTATTCCTTAGGTCCTTCCGTGTGTTGTTCTTCCACCGCCACTCGTGCTCCCAGACGCTTTTTGTGCCAGAAGTGGCCTCGTTCCTAGTTGAGGAGTCCTCATGACAGCCGCTTGACTGCATGCGCGTGCTTAGGCAGCTCCCAGCCCCCTTTTTCAGCCATGGTCTTGCAGAGAGCTCGTCGCCCCGAAGGTCAGTGGTAAGGGTCGCTGCTGAAAATTAGCCTGACGAAGGACCCAACCACATGCAGCTGCGAGTGCCGCATCGTGGGTACCGCTGGGGCAACGAAGCATGCGAGGGGTGCGCCGAAATCGGTGGCGGTGACGCATGCGGACCCTGCCACTGGAGCCCTCGGTGGAGCTCCCTATGGGGCCACGAAGCGCTGTCCTGGGTGGCGGTGACGCATGCGGACCCTGCCACTGGAGCCTTCGGTGGAGCTCCCTATGGGGCCACGAAGCGCTGTCTCGGGTGGGTGAAGCGCAGGGGGGTGACGAGGCGGGTAGGGAGGCGGAGGAAGAGGAGGCGAAGAGGAACGCGGGGCGCTGGCTCTTCGAAGCGAAGACCCAGCACCACAGGACGTACGGGAACAGCCACCTTCGTCGGGCTATGCCCCCCGCCCTCCTCCCCGCCCGCCCTCCCCCCGCCCTCCCCCCGCCTTCGTCGGGCATGCCCCCAGCCCTCCCCCCCCCTCCTGAGGTCCCCGAGCAGCACCGGCGGGGCCAAGACTTCGTCGGGCTGTGCCCCCCGCCCGCCCACCCTCGCCGAGGTCCCCGAGCAGCACCGGCAGGGCCAGGGCGGCCGGGGCGGGCCAGGAGCCCCCCCCCCCCGCCCGCCCGCCGCCGGCCGACGCGTGCCCCCGCCAGCCGCGGTCTTCGGCGCCCCGGGGCTCGTCGTGATCCAGTGTCGGGTATATGGCCAGGGCCCCTCCTCCAGCTCCTTCGCTGCGCCTCTCCCTCGGCCTCTCTCCTCCGCCCCTCCCTCCCGCCTTCCTCCCCCAACCCTCTCGCCCTGCTCGCTTCCCCTTGTTCCCTCCCTTCTGCCTCCCCGCCTCCGTCCCTTCTCTTCTCATCTCGGGTATAGCCAGGACCCCGGGTAAGGGGACCCGGTTAGTGGTAGGGCCCCCCCAATTGGCCGGATTCACTAAGCCAGGTTTTCCGTAACTGGTTTTTGTCGGGTGACGGCAGTTCCGCTTGGTGGAAATGGGGCGGGGGGGGCGCCCCCGGTACAAATCATTGAACCAGGCTCCCTTAAACCCATCTCTGCCAACACCCGATCCAAGGAGAGGGAGGAGGAGCAACAGCAACACGCAATGAGAAGAAGGCAGACAGAAGACGAACAATCAGACGAAGGAGAAGGAGAGGACAAACTATGAGGCGAAGCATGCTAACACTGCTGACCATAACAATCAGGGTAGCAGTTAGCATAGACACAAAGTCCGGATCGGATTGATCATAATAGCACACCGATGCGAAGGAGAATAGCAATCATGCGAATACGGATAAGAGGACGGACATACGACGGACGCCAATCATACCAATTAGCACAAGTTACGTAAGCACATGCATCATTGTGGTCATAATCTGCACATACAGAGTTTTTACTAGACGTGAGCTGTGTGAACAGCATACTGGTATCAACACTAAGCTGCGTAGGCATGACCCTTTCGGAGCTCCGCGTGGGTCTCTTCGATCTGCGCTGGACCCGCCCGGTGGCGCCTCCAGCGCTGGCCCTCGGCGCGCTTCGTGCGCCCTACGGGGAGCCCAGCGCCGAGCCGAGAAATCCGCGCCGAGCTCGGAGAGTTTCCATGCTTACGCTTATGATGTTCCAACCACTCGCCTCGATCGCCAGAAAGAATTCCGAGCACCAAGAAAGTACCGAATCTCGATGGTTTTCACGTGTCGGGCCCTGGTGGACACTCGTCCGACACTGCCTTGACACTGTTTCTCTACACTTGGCTCGAAATTCTTTCTGGGATGTGGTCCTTAACTACGATGAGAACAACATCAGTTTACGCATCTATGTTTTTGCTGGCTCCGCCGGGCAGCCCCCTCCCCGACGGCCTGGCCCCGGCGGCCTGTTCCCAGCGGCCTGCCCGAGCTGCCTGCCCCGAGATCCAGGCGCCGCGATCTTTTCCCCAGCCTGCGTCGGGCAGGCTTGGATGAAGTCGTTTCATGTCCTGGGCGAGGAGCGGCATACAATGAACTTTGGGGCCATTGGGGAGCGCCTGTCCCGTGGTGGCTGGAAAGCGTGTACCCATACGGTGGCACGTCAGGGTATAAACTTTCAGCCGCCCTGGGACAGGCGCTCACCGTGACGAACGAAGGATTGCAAAAAAAAATAAGGATTGCAAAAAAAAACGAAGGATTGCAAAAAAACCGAAGGATTGCAAAAAACCGAAGGGTTTTTTTTGCAATCCTGGGTTTTTTTTTGTGCAATCCTTCGGTTTTTTTTGCAATCCTTCGTTTATTTTACACCGCTCTTCGCTTGCTAAATCAGAGCGTTCCAGAACGCTCTCGGTACGTTCCAGAGCGCTCTGGCACGGCTGCGGCGCCCGAGACACCCTCCGGAGCCGCCAGATGTGTGAGATCCTCGATATGTATGCCAGGCCGAGTTTGCCGTGGCCCTGGTCTCTCGTCTTACCAGGGCCTGAAAGCCGTCTGGTGACGAACCGCGTGGTGACCTCCAGGCCCCCGAAGACCTCACCGCGCGGTCCGTCTCCCAGGATTTTTTGGGACCTGGGATGCCCCAGCCCCTGAGAGACGTCCTCGGAGGACGACCCGCGTCCCGGCCCTTTCCTGAGGACCCGTCCTTCATTTCGAGTCGCTTTTCGACAGTCCGGGGGCCCATGATGTTGGTGGTGGTTGTGATTATGATTATGATTGTGATTGTGATTGTTCTGATGATGATGATGATGATGATGATGATGATGATGATGATGATGATGATGATGATGATAATGATGACGATGATGACGATGATGATGACGAGGATGAGGATGAGGATGAGGATGAGGATGCGGATGAGGATGAGGATGGTGGTGATGGTGATGGTGATGGTGATGGTGATGGTGATGGTGATGGTGATGGTGATGGTGATGGTGATGATGACGGCGCTGATGACCAGAGGGGGCCAGGCTGCAAGGATGTCTCGAGCATTTTGAGCAGATCCTGAGGATGTCTCGAGCGGTTTGCTGGCTTCGGCATTCCTAAGAGGGGGCCGCCAGGGTATATTTCACGGCCTCCGTTTGCGTCCAGATTGCGGGGATTTCTCAGACGATTTGCTTGTTGCGGTGCCCCCCTTCGCTTTCGGAGCATATTCTGAAGATGTCTCGAGCGGTTTGTTGGCTTCAGCACTCCTAAGATGGGGCCGCCAGGGGTATCTCACGGCAAGCGGGACAGCCCAGAACATGTGCGATTGTTCGGTCTGGGCCCCTTCATATTCGATTGTTCAGGATTGAGGACTCGAATGACTTGAAGACACTCCAACTCGTGCCTCAGGGAACGGTGGCGGATGACTCCAGAGAGCTCGAGCTCGTGCCTCAGAGCTCCCAAGTGGGGTCTCCCTTCGCCAGGTCATGTAGTGCTCTGGCTGATCACCGCACCTCTTCGATAGATGCACTGTCTTCAGGACGTGCATCGGCCCAAGGATTTGCCGACCAACAGTGGGATCTCCTCGTAGGCGTTGTCGTCTGTTTTGGACCTCTCACCGCGGGTCCCTTCACCTCGTTGCCTCGCCCCCCCCCCCCCCCCCAGGGCAACGAGGAGCTGCGGCGCGCGGTGACGGCAGGTCGTCGGGGTCTCCTCTGCCTCGTTTTCGAGCTCCTCTGAGCTCCCCGGGCTTTCCCCAACTGGTCCTGCCCTCGGTGGCCCGACGATGGGAACATCCCCCGCCCCAGGGCTTCCAGTCCTCGCTGAGCCCGGTGGCCAGCAGCGCGCCGAGCCTGAGCCCCATCGGCGAGGCCGCGGAGCTGGCCAGAGGCCCCCGTCGAGACCGCGAGGCGCCGCGGGCGGGGAGCGGGGCGGCCCGAGTAGCCTCCACGAGGGTTCCGAGACGGCGAGGACCCCAAGCCGTCCCCAGAGGCGCCCAAGACGGCCCAGCGGGCCCAAATGACGACTCCAAGAGGGGGCTTCTGTGATAGGGGACCCGGACGGACATTCCGAGCCCTCGCCCCCGAAGGGCGGAAGCCCGAACGGTCCCACGGGAGGCCCCGCAAAGCCCGGGGAGGCCCCGAAGGGGCCTACGAGGGGCCCCCCAGGAGGCTCCCGCGGCGCCCCAGAGCTGCCCCCCCGGGCGGGGGCGCCGCACTCGGCCGGGAGCGTCGCCTGGCTGGAGGCCCTCCGGGGATGTTTTGCGGCTGCCGAGTTGGCGTGGCCCCGGTGTGCCGCGCGATGTTCGGCCTTGTCGGGGATCTTCTGACCCGGGTCAATCCAGACCCGGGTCAGCAGGAGACCAAAAATTGCAATGCAGGAAACAAAACTGCAACGCAGATCTTCGCAAACCCGGGTCAGCCAATATGCGCGGCCGCTTCGCGGCCACGAGCGGCTCGCTAACCCAGATCAGCCAGAGGGGGTCTTCGCAGGATCCTGCAAGATCTGGCGCCCTGGCTGACCCCCGTTTGCATTGACCCCCGTCTCAAGGCTCCCGACCTTGAAGAGAGCGACCTCCGGCTTGCGTGAAGAGGCGCGGCCCAGAGACTGCATCAGCGGTCCAGCGTGCACTCCATTGACGGGGTCCACGACGGAGGTGGGATCCGCTTGAGGAGGGCCTCTTGGAAGGAAACTGCCCCGCCACATGGTGCCAATGCCACATTCATCTTATGAGCGAACTCGTCGCCTGCGATATTGTACTCGCGCGGCTTCTTGGTGAACCAGCGACGCGCTTGGTCAGACGACAAGTCGATGAAGCGGCCATCATCCCCAAACCCGCCTGCTTTGATGGACAAGTCACACCATGCCCAGGCATCGACCTCGGCAAACGCCTGCATGGGGGTCTCGCCATGCCGGAGAGAACGCCTCCCAGCTGGTGCCGGCGGAAAGCCTCATCGATCGACCACGGCGCACGGCGGAGAGGAGAACGGCCAGTGCTTCCGCGTGCGATCGCGCGCAGAGCAGTAATACGAAATTGATCGCCCCCTATCGTGAAGGCCGAGCAACTCTTAGCTTGTGCAACACAGTCGGGGCCCCGAAGAAGGAACCCTTTTCGTTGGGGAGGGGCTCCGTGTTCCTTGATTGTGTCGCAGCTTGCCTTTTAGGTTTTCCTTAGGTTTTCGATGGGAAATCGGACTTTGACTGATGGGAAAAAAGGGCCTCGTTCCTTATTTAGGGTTCCTTAGGTCAACGCCCCGACTGTACTGAAAGACCAAGTCCCCGAGGTCTCTCTGCATGGCGCGGCAAGCCTTGTGCCTGAGCGGCTTAGTTCTTGGATCTTTGGGCCACCCGTCCGGGGGCTTCCACTGGAGCTGCTTCGCGAAGCCTGGCCGGCCCCACGTACGACGCACCTCACGGCACACGCCTTGGCTGGAATTTCCTGGCAAACCCACATGGGCTGGCAACATTGCTGCGATTTGGCTTGATGATGCCCCTGGAAAAACCTGGCACGCCCACGGGTGACGGCATGCCGGGACCGCACGGTGCGCGTTGGTGCGCGCGCGCTACGCCCAGGTGCGCGCGGTGCGGTGCGTTCGTTTGAGGACGATGGCGACGATAGGGGTGACGATGTGGACGATGAGGACGACGACGAGGAGGCAACACCGCCGACGTGAACGAAGATGGTGTTGGTGACATGATGGCGGTCATTGGGCACATCCGATGAGTTGTGACGGTGATGGCGGTGACGATGGTGACAATGATAACGATGACGGTGGGGCTAAGGACCAAGAGAAGAAGGGTGAGGGTGAGAAAACAACATCGGAACGTACATGCTCATGAGCAGGTGTGTTCCCGCGGACAAGTGGCGCGGAGGCAGAGTGGTAAGACATGTTCGTTTTGCCGAGCAGACTGGTCCTTCTTTTCAACATGTATGGGCAGAGTGCACAGAAGTATGGGCTATCAGCTAACTTTTGGACCCAAGGTGACTGCTAAGAGTGGATGGGTGACACTCGGGCAAGCAGATACTCTTTCTGAGCGAGCTGGCATGATGAAGGCTACGTGTGAGTTGGCCCTCGAGATCTTCCAGCTGAAGCCACACCAGCGTCTACATCGTATGTGTTACGACTTCCTGTACTGGGGCTACCTCATAGCCGAGGTACTCCCAGACACCATCTTCTTCTTCTTCGAGAAACCACAGGTTCATGGGCATGTTTGTTGCGGGCCGCACACAGGGCAAGATTTGGAGATTTGCTTCGGGCCCCAACCTCTAGCATCCACCTCTCCACTTCCAGCTCCACCTATCGACCTCCAGCGTCCATCAGCGCAGCATTCCGACTTCCAATCTTCAGCATCCGATTCTACACTCCCACATCCGCCTACCGACCTCCAGCGTCCATCAGCTCAGCATTCCGTGCGCCGGCTTTCAGCATCCCACTCTCCATGTCCACCTCCACCTACCGACCTCCAGCGCCCACCAGCTCAGCATTCCGACCTCCAGCTGTTAGCATCCGGCTCTCCGTTCCCACCTCCACTTACCGACCTCCAGCGCCCATTATCGCAGCATTCCGACCTCAGGCTTTTAACATCCGTTTCTCCACATCCAGTTCCACCTATCGACCTCCAGAGCCCACCAGCTCATCATTCCGACGCTAACCTCTAGCGTCGACCTCTCCACTTCCAGCTCCACCTATCGACCTCCAGCGTCCACCAGCTCAGCACTCCGACTTCCAATCTCCAGCATCCGACTCTACACCTCCGCATCCACCTACTGACTTCCAGCGTCCTTCAGCTCAACAGTACGACCTTCAACCTCTAGCTTACACATCTCCACTTCCAGCTCCACCTATCGACCTCCAGCGATCACCAGCTCAGCACTCCGACCAACTAACTCGCGCATCCGACGTTCCACTCCCACCTCGATCAATCGACATCCAGCGTCCATTAACTCAACACTACGACCTCAATTCTCTAGTATCCAACTCTCCAACTCCATTTCAACCTCCAACCTCCAGCATCCGACTCTCGACTGCCACCTCCACCAATCGACCACCACCCTCCACCAGCACAACATTCAGACCTCCAACCTCTCATATTTGACTTCCCACTTTCACCACCAATCGACCTCTAGCTGATCTCTTGGGTGTGTCACAGAGCGCGTATGGGCCTTCGATTGCACGTGGTGATCTGTTTCTTGAGTGGTACCTGAAGGATGTGACACAGAGTTCATGAGAACACCAGTGCTCCCACACCCATGTGCAGTGGATTGGAGGTCCGAGGAGTTCAATTCGAACGTGTTTTGCTATGAGTTCGAGATCACAGAAGGGACGATGACACCCACGGGTTTCTCCGACAGTCTCACACCACAAGCACTACGATTTCAACGAGACGACGTGGCTACATCATTAGAAAACGGATGAGTGGGGACTGTCGGGAAATCAGCTCCTGAAGTACGCACTGTCCTGAGTAGACCCCCGACGCGCGCAGCTTCTCATGCGAGGCCATGGCCTCACCCGCCTCGCCCTTCAGGGGCCGGGGCGCATGCCCGCACAGGCGTTCCGTTTCCGTTTCCATCGTATGTGGCCAAACGTTTGGGCACAGCTTGGCCACGCTGCTGGACCATGGTTTTCCCCACCACGGGGAGCACCTGGTTGGGGGGGAAGGGAGGATGAGGAGAGGGAAGCACAGGGAGGATGAGTAGAAGAATGAGGAGACCTCTTGGGAACTTCTTGGGTCATTATTTTGGGGGGCATCCTGCGGGCCTCTTGGGAGCCTCATCGGGCGTCTTGGGCTTTTGTGGGAGTCCTCTTTGGCCGTCTTACAGTCAACATGTATCATTAGGATGCGCGGTAAGGATGCAAGGGCTGTGGAGGCCCATATGAACGTTTTGCGGACTAGGTTGACCGGCGAAAGTCAAGTCGCTAATGATGGGCCGAAGGGGGCAAGGGTACCCTTGGGACGGCTGCCCATCCTTACTATGCGGGTTGATTAGACGGCGTTCCTGGCCCGTCTGATGCAGACGGAAGCCGTCTGGGGAGCCTCTCTGTGCTGGCTAGGGGGGGCGCTTGAGGGTCGGCTTGAAGGCCAAAGTGGGCGTCTTGGATGCGTCTTGTGCAATATTGAGGCCCTTTGTGGGGCTGTCTTGGGGGCCTCTTGGGTCGTCCTGGGGCCATCGCTGAGGCCTATTGGGCAATATTGGGGCAATATTGGGGTCCTCGATGGCGTCTTTGGCAGTCAGACAGCCGCCGTTTTGAAGCAAATGCAGCTGGGCCCATGGAGGGGTTCTTGGAAGCCTCTTGGGCCCTCTTGGGCCGTTTAATCATCATCCTAGCCGTCTTTGAGGCGTCTTGGTTTGTCTTTGGTCATCTTGGTCGCCTTGGAGGCCATCTGATCGCCATCTGGGAGAGTCTTAGGGAGACGTGGTTGTTGTGGGCCTTTCTTGGTGGCCAGCGGGATCGGCCGAAACCCCAAAGGGGAGTTCTTCAGAAAGAACCAAACATGACCAGCACGCCAGGCACCCCGGTGATAAATCAACAGGGGGCGGCGGATCGAAGACGCCTACGGCGAATCACCGCCGCCCCCTGCCTTTTTGGAAGCGCCTATATGGCGGAACGTTGAGGCCAGAGCTGCCAAACGATCAGACCATGTGTTCCCCGAATCGGTTTGGAAAGTCTTCGGGGAACACGTGGGCATATTAAAGGTCCTCTTGGCCGTCTGGAGGCCATTTTGACCCTGTCGGGCCTTCTTGGAGGACGTCTTGGAGTGCTCTTGGGCCGTCTTCGAGGCCATCTTGAGCGTTTTGGAGGCCTCTTGGGCCGTCTTGGGGACCTCTTGTGACCGTCTTGGGCCTCTTGGGCGATCTTTGGGGGCTCTTGGGCCGTTTCGGGCCGTCGTACGGCAGAAACAAAAGCAAATGCCACAATCATTCAAAAACTCATGGGAAATCAAAGATCAACCTTTTCGGGCCTTCCTGCAGGCCCTCTTGGAGGCCTCTTGGGCCGTCTTGGGTCATCTTACGGCCATTTTCGGCCGTCATGGTGGGTTCCTGGCCCGTCTGGCCGCGTTCGAAACCGTTTTGGGGGCCCCTCTGGGCCGACTTGGGGCCCTGTTGGGGTGCTCAGGGCCGTCTTGGAGGCCATCTTGGGCGTCTTAAAGGCCTCCTGGGCCGTCTTGGGGGCCTCTTGGGGCCGTTTTGGGTGCCTCTTGGGACTTTCTGGGGCCATCTTGGAGGCCTCTTGGACGATCTTTGGGTGATCTTTGGGGGCTCTTGGGCCGTCTCGGTCCGTCGGAAGGCCGAAAAGAAGCAAATGTCGAAATCCTTCAAACACCTCAGGACAATCAGTGTTTTTGACCTTTTCTGGCCTTCCTGGAGGCCCTCCTGTAGGCCTCTTGGGCCGTCTTCGGCCAGCTTCGAGCCAACTTCGGCTATCTTGGTAGGTTCCTGGCACGTCTGACGCCGTCGGGAGCCGTCTTGGGGGCCTCTCTGAATCGACTTGGGGTCCTCTTGGGGCGCTTCGGGGCAGTCTTCATCTTGGGCGTCTTGGAGGTTTCTTGGACCGTCTTGGGGCCCTCTTGGGGCCGTCTTGGAGGCCTCTTGGGCCGTCATGGGGCCATCTTGGAGGCCTCGTGGGCGATCTTGGGGCGATCTTGGCGGCCTCTTGGGCCGTCTTGAGCCGTCGGAATGCCGAGACGAGGTAAATGCCAAAATCCTTCAAAACCCCAAGGAAACTCAATGATTTTGGCCTCTTCGGGCCCTGCTGGATCATCTCTTGGAGGCCTATTGGGCCGTATTGAGGCTTATTGGGCCGTCTTGGGCCATCTTGAGGCTATCTTACGCCACCTTGGGTAGATTTTGGGCCGTCTTGGATGCATCTTGGGGCCATCTTAGCCGTCTTGGAGGCCATCTTGGCCGTCTTGGATGCATCTTGGAGGCCATCTTGGGCCGTCTTGGAGCCGTCAAGAACAGGAACAACCATTTGGAAACAGGTCGTGGCAAGTTGTTTGCATCCTTTCGGGTGGCCGGCGGGACGGGCCGAAGCCCCAGGGGGAGTTTGTGGGAACAAAAACAAAACCAAAACCGAGAGGATTCAGCACGCCAGGCACCCCTGCGATGAATCGACGGGGGGCGGCGGATCGAGTGGCCTTCGGCCCATCCCGCCACCGTGCCTTGTTTGTAGGTCGGAGGGAGGTTCCCTGACGCCTCTTGACACTGGTTTTGGGGTGTCGTGGGGGCGTCTTGAGGTCCTCTTGGGACCTGACTTGGGGGCTTCTTGGGGGCCGCCTGGAGCTTTTGGGGGACTCGTGGGGGTCTGCTGGCGGTCTTTGGGGTTATCGCTTCCCCCGCGTGTGATGAGAAGCACTGTCGCACTGCGACTCGAACATTATGTCGACTCGAATGGATGTGATGATGTTCGTTATTTTGTTTCTCTCTCGTCGCCCTCGCAATCACGCACCCAAACGTCGTTCGCCCGCATGTATCTGATCTACTTTCACCAGGGGCCTCCCAGATGGGGTCCGAATAGATGGGGTTGGAGGATCGCGCCGCATGGCCGATGCGTCAGGGATGCATCGCCGCTGCATTGGCGATGCACTGGCGACGTGGCTGATGCATCGGTGCCGTCGGCGTGCAGAAAATCAGGCTCAACATCGAGCCGCATCGCCGATGCATCGGCGGTGCGGCGCGATCCACAGTCACCATCTCCCCCGTGGCCAGTGCAACTCTGGCACTGCAGGATCCTGCAAGATCTGGCGCTCTGACTGACCCCCGCTTGCATCGGCTCCCAATCTTCTTGTCCAATTGCTCCTCCCAGCTTTGAGAGTACCGGACTGCAGCTCATCATTGAAGGGGCCCTTGGACACACAAACAAATACACACAAATAACAGGATTCCCTATAGTCTCGTGTATTTTCGGGGTGTTTGTCTTCCCCCCCACTTCCCACAGTTTCCCATATCTTCCTGGGAATCGACGATGAATTGTGTCCGTGTGGTTTTTTCCCCTCCTGGATCATTGCGAGCCTGGCTCCCGTACAACCTGAGGCCGCCGGGACGTCTTAGGGCGATTTGGGAGGCCCCGTCGGGGAGCCCGAAACGGCGAGAATCCCAAAGACGTTAAAGCGCCAACGGCGACAATGGTTTTGGCCTCTGGCGGCCCTCTTGGGAGGCCTCTGGGAGGTCTCTTGGGGCGTCTTGGAGGCTTCTCAGGCCGTCTTGGGGCCATCTCGGGCGTCTCAGAGTGATCGTTCTGCGACTGGGGGCCCTCTTGGCTCTGGAAGAGAGAGTCGCCCCGAGCACCGTTCATGAGGGGAGGGGGAAAGCGCGAGGGGGCCGGCCCAATGATCTCACGCGCTTTCTCCCCTCCAGGGGTCGGCGGAGTTTGGGCGTGTTTCTTTTGCCCTCTGCATTTTGGAAGAAAGTATGGTTGCGGGGGGTCCAGGCAAGATTGCTACGATGGTGGCCCGGCGACGTGTCATCCGTACAGGAGGTTCGCCCAGTGTTGTCGCGAGCGACCATACCGCTGCCAGCGACGAGGCTCGCTGTTTAACGCTGGCCACGCTCCCTCATTGTCATGCCCCCCACCCTGGTCCCTCATCAGCCCGGAAGGCTCGTGCCCGACAACAGGTTGTAACGCCAGAGTTCGCGGGCGCCTGGAGCTGTTCGGACGCGATAGGGCGCGGCCTGCAGGGCCCTGCTAGGAGCTGGGCATGAACCAGGGCGGCGCTGCCCGCTTCGCGTCCTGACCTTCCCTCGAAATGCTGGTTCGTGTGTGCGGGCACTGCTGACGCTGCTCTTCTGCACCGGGGGTGGACAGAACCCCCACCCTGACACGTCGACTAGTGAATTGTCCGTTTTCCCTTCTCGAGAGGGCGCCGTTGCCGTCATTTTCCAGGCTTGCGCCCGCCAGATTTGGGCCCGGGGTCGTTTTCACTAAACCACGTTTTGCTAAAGGGGGTTCTGTCCATCCTCGAATGCATTTGCTTGCGCTTGTTTCAAAAAGTGAGCCACGCCTGGTCCCAACTGGGACCTTATTTACATTGGGAGCCCCACAGGCCTCTGCACGGCCGTGCCAGCAGAAGAGGGGGAGGAGGACATGCGGCAATTACAGGGGTGAGGGAGGGAGGGGGGGAGAGGAGGAGGAGGACAGGGAGGAGGAGGAGGAGGAGGAGGAGGAGGAGGAGGAGGAGGAGGACGAAGAACAGAGGATGAGGAGGAAGAGGAGGAGGAGGAGGAGGAGGAGGAGAGGAGGAGGAGGAGGGGGAGAAGGAGGAAGAGAAAGAGGAGGAGGATGAGCAGGAGGACGACGAAGAAGAGGAGGAGGAGGAGGAGGAGGAGGAGCGGGAGGAGGGAGAGGAGGATGAGGGAGGAGGAGGAGGTGGAGGAGGTGGAGGAGGATGAGGAAAGGAATAAGGAGGAGAGGGGGTGAGTGGGAAGGGGGAAGGAGGAAGGGGCGGAGATGTGGGAGGAGGGGGCGAAGGAGGGAAGGGAGTGATGGGGAGGGAAAGGGGAGTGGGGGGAAAATGAGGGATTGGGTGTCACCCGCCCGTGGTGTGAAGGCGATGCGGAACTCGCAGCACTCCGAGGTGACTCTTTCAAGGCTTGCCCGCGGTGTTCAGATCAGAAAACAGGTCTCTTCCTCTTCGTCTTCGTCTTCTTCTTCCTCTTCCTCCTCCTCCTCGGTCCTTTTCGTCTTCCTCTTCCTCCTTCCTCTTCCTCCTTGGTTTCCTCCTCGGTCCTCTTCCTCTTCGTCTTCTTCTTCCTCCTCCTCCTCCTCCTCCTCCTCCGTCTCCTCCCCCTCCTCCCCTCCTCCACATGTCGTCCTTCCCCCGTCCCCCGCCTTCCCCACCCCCCTTCGTCCTCCGGTTCCCCATTCCCCCCCCCCCCCCTCCTCCATTCCCGTCTCTTCAATGTTTCCCTCCTCCGAGTGGTCGCCGCCGTCGCTGTCGCCGCCGCCGTCCTGCGGGCGGAATCGTGCCGCTCGGCGGCAGGGTGGCTCTGCGAGTTTGCGGGGGCCCCGCTTGCCGTCCTGGCCCGCGTCGCGCCTGTTGCTCGTGCTTTCTCACATGTCCCTCTCCATCCTCCATCGCGTCCCTCATCTTGCCTGTCCCGTCGTTCCGGTTCTCCCTCCGTCCTCGATGCTGTTCTCCCCCTCGTTCCGTGCCCTGTTCCGTCCTGCATCTCGCTCGTCCCCTCCTTGCCCCCCATCCCGCCATCATCTCCTCAGTGCTCTTGCATGCTCGATTTCCTCTTCGTCAATGTTTCCACTTCCTGGTAAATCTTCTCCTGCTTCCTCCTCCACCTCCCCCCCCTCGTCCACTCCCCGTATCGCATTATCCTCGTCCTTCTCCTTTTGTCCTACCCGTCATTTCCCCCCTTTCTACTGCACCTCTACCGTGCTTTCTCCTCGCAAGCCTGTCGCTGCTTCTCCGTACTCCTCCCTTCTTCTTGCCCCTCCTCGTTGTTCCTTTCCGTCGCCCGTGCAAGAGTCACGGGTCCTCCATGGCGTCCTCCCTGTCAAGTCTTTGCTACGGTCAAGTGCTTGTTGGATATTTGGGACGCCAACGCCCTCATGATGAGTAGGATGACTCGAAGGAGGGTGAGGGGGACATGTCGATAGAGGGGCATGGGGGGATAGTGATGTTAATAATGATGATGGTGATGCAGATCATTTTGGAAAAGCCTGGCGGCCGCTGCCGCCGACCCTAAACGACGACGACGACGCCGACGCCGACAACGACGATCACGACGCCGACGACGACGACGACGGAGGCGGCGGCGGCGGCAGCGGCGAAGACGACGACGACGACGACGCCGACGACGACGACGACGACGCCAACGACGCCGACGCCGACGCCGACGCCGACGCCGACGACGAGGAGCGCTTCCGGGGTTCTCTTGGGGGTAGTTTTGGGGTCTCTTGGGAGGCTGTTGGGGGCCTCTTGGGAGCCCCGTGGGGGTCTCTTGGGGGCTTTCTGGGGGTCTCTTTGGGGCCTCTTGGGGCCTCTTGGGGTCTTCTTCGGGCTATCTGGGGTCCTCCTGGGAGCCTCTCGGGCCGAGGTCTCGAAATGTCCAGTTGGGTCCCCCGTCTGGGCTCCCACTTGGAGCCGTCTTGGGGGCCCAAGAGCTGTTTGGGAGGCCTCTTCGGCGGTCTTTGGGCCCTCCTGGGTTGCCTTTGGGCCCTCTTGGAAGCCTCTTGGGCGAGCTTGCGGGCCTCCTGGGCTGTCTTGGAGCGTCGGGAATCCGACAATGCGGTGGGGGCCCTCTTTGCAGTGCTCTTGGAGACCTTTTGGGGCGGTTTGAAAATCTCTTAAGCCGTCTAGAGGCTGCCTTAGCGTCTTGCACCAATAAGTCTGCGATTCGGGGCCCTCAAGGACCATCTTGGGGGCCTCTTGGGGCACTCATGCCGCGCCTTGGGGCTTGTCTGGGCCCTGGGATCGCCCCGGGGGGATGCGTATCCGGGGGGCGACCCCCTTCCCGGGACCCCCCCCAGCGGGGAGGGGATCACAGGGAAGCTTCTTCCCGACTCAGCTACGACCCCGCTCAATGTCGGTTTGGCTGGCGCGCTTAAGGAGGCGGGCCCAGGGAAAGGAGACGGATGACGACGGAGACGACGATTGACGGAGACGACGAGGAGACGACGGAGACGGAGACAACGGCTTTTGCTGACGGTGCTGATGGTAATGGGGATTGTTCTGGTGATGATGCTGACCATGTGGATGATGAGGGGAGTGTCGAAGAGGATGAGGAGGATGACCAGTGTAAATCCGAGACTCCTCGGTAATGTTGGAATGAACTCTCCCTCCAAGCTCCCTCTTCATATGCCTGTACATGGTTCCACTTCCACTGAGGGAAGTGCCCCATTAGGAGACTCTAGTTTGGAGGTCCTAACGCATTCCAAAACACCATTCTCGAGACTTCAAGTCACGACGCAACCTGATTGTCGCGTCTCGACGACCCTAAATCGCGCCAGAACACGATTCCCGGGACTTCAATTCCGCGAATCACCGTAACCGTTTCGCCCTGACAGTTCGGAATCGTTCCGAAACGCCGTTTGAAGTTCGCCAACCATTAGAACACGGAAAAGCCATGCAAATGTTTAAGACGAGTGTGCGCGCGGCGATTCGGCGAGAGCCACATTTTGAAGGGGAATTGGCCTCTTTTGTGAACATGGTCCACAATTTTGTAGGACGAATGCGCGCGGGGCTGAGGCGAGAGCCATTTAGGAAAAACAACGCCCTGAATTAGTGAACAGTGTTGCTTTCTTTTTTAAAGGACGAATGTGTGCGGCGATAAGGCGAGATAAACATTTTGAAGAGAAGCTGCCTCCAAGCCGCCAAACTCCTTAGCAACGGTTCAAAACGAATTCGCTCGGTGCTAAGGCGAGAGCCTTAGTTTGAAAACCACCCGCCCTCAATCCGTGAAGCTCTTGCAATGTTTTAAGACGGGCGTGCGCTGCGCGAAGGCAAGAGCTACATTTTGAAAACCACCCGCCTTCAGTCAGTGAAGCTCTTGCAGCGTTTAACACGAATGTGCGTGGCGCTCAGGCGAGAACCACGTTGTGAAAGCGTCTCGCCCTCTATCCGTGGCGCTGTTGCCAGTCTGTAAGCTTCCGGATCCTAAATCTTTAAACGTCTCAAGCGAAACGCCCGGGCCGCCCTTCCACCTGGCTCCAGGGTGTCACAGGGACGACAGATTTACAAGGAAATGGAGTTGGGGAGGAGGAGGGGGAGGAGGAGGAGGAGGAGGAGGAGGAGGAGGAGGAGATGTCCGCGCTCACGAAAGTTCACTGGGGGCGAATCCGCGCGTGGACAGACTTCTCCGTGCATCATGTCGAGCGCCGACGCGACGCCCTGAACTCCTGCAGCCGCGAAGTCAACGAGGGGCGTTTGACGGCTCAGTATCGCGAGCGCTCATCTGGCTCCCAGCACAAGTGGTGACCCAGGGCGCCAAGAAAGACAACACATGTCGCAGAACGCAAAGGCGGTTCTTCAATCGATCTTTCGACCAGGCGCCTGGCCCCAGTGGCCTCCTGCCCTCGAGTGGAGCGGGTGCCAGGGCAGACGACGAGGCAGTCGCGTGCCAGGGGCAATCGGGGGGCATGGAGAAACGAAGGCCGGAGGGCGGCGGTTGTTCGAGGAGCATGGGAGGGGGGGAGGGAGGGAGAAGACGGAGGAGGAGGAGGAAGGGAGGGAGGGAGGGAGGGAAGCCGTGGCTCTCCTAGGCGGGGGGGGCCCGTCCGCGGCGCGCGCGGCGCCGCGCCATCGGGCCTCCCGCAGGGAAGGCGCGGCTCAGCGCGGCCGCCAGCCCGCGGCCCCGCACAGGGCAGGCGGGCCGAGGGGACGGCCAGGAGAAGGGGAGGCGCTCTCCTGCCTGGCACCGCCGAGCCAGGCGGCTTCGTGCAGCGGCTCGTGTGGCTCTACGACGGGGTCGAGCCCGACGCACACTGGCACAGCATCATTCCACAGGAGCCATGGTTCAGAAAGGCGGACACCGAGGCGCTGCAGCACATGCTGACCGATCGAGCGCGGGCACGCCCAACTGGAAGTGCATTGGTTGTGGTAGTATGAATCATGGTGATGATCGGTGCAGAAATCGCAAGCTGGCATATCGTATAGGCAGCATTGCCAAAGAGCACATGGTGAAGGACTACGTTCCAGAGAATCGGCCAAGTTCAAGCCTGTATTCAGGCCTGTAAGTGCACCACCGAGTACGGGAGGAAGAGAAACTGCTATCGCATACCCGAATCGGGGCACGGCGCTCTGGCAACGCAGCGGGAAGAGGTGCATTCGATATTGAATACCGTGGCAGGGTTCGTGATCAAAGGTGAGGATGCCATGTCCACCACGCAGGCGCAGCCCAAGGAGATGGCCATCATCAAATAGATGCTTTGGGAAATGAGCACGCCAGCTACCCAAGAAAACGCAGCACGGGACGGATTGCAGAGATCGACGAATCAGATGGGGTGTTTTCGAAGGCAGTACGCGGCGATTGAGATTCATATGTTCTTGGAACAGCAGACTGTATTATAATGTATTAGGTTTGCAGGATCTGGCCAGAGAGGCGCAAAAAAGAGGAGACTGGTCACCGCCGCCGTCGGAGGATGTAGGTCATGATCGTCGCAGGGCTCTCGCAGTTACAGTCCCTCCTGTGGAAGCAGGTGGTCTGACACATGATGAAGCATCTCCACCACCTCCACCACCGCTTCCGCCTCCATGCTCAGCGGCACCGTTCATTGCAGCCTCGGGCCCTGTACAACCCCCACCCAAGCACGACGCTAGAGGGGGCCCAGGCATACCGATCGTGGACGGCAGGTACACACGAGGTCACTCTTCAGCAATTATACAGTCCTGGATCCGAGGAAAAGGTATCATGAGTAAGTTAGACAGACAGAATGCAGCACACGATGCGGCGCGAACTGCAGCGCAAGACGCGGTGCGATCAGGAGCGCGGGATTCAGATCACGGGCGAGCTGAATAAGTGGAGGAGGTAAGGAAGCAGCCGGCAAAGTTCAAGGAGAGACAGCCGGAAACACGGCACCATTTGCAACGACCGAAGTTACGAGACGATTGATAAAAAGGCGTACGTGCGAAGCGTCGA